GTAGTCTATACCTAGTCTTTACCAGTGGCGTAGTGAGCAAAAAATTGGGGGGAGGGGGGGGGGGAGAAAGAATGAAAAAAGTATAATTTACAAAAAAGTGAGAAAAAACCCTCAGATAATCATGTCATTTAAAAAAAATTTAACAAATCACTGGTATCGCATTAGAAATAAACCACGTTTGAATTGTATTAGGGGGGGGGGGGGCAACTGCCCCAAGCCCCCTATCATTACGCCAGTGGTCTTTACAAAATAAAACATATGCCACAGCCTGTTACATGTGATTGAATGGTTTTTTACTAAACTGAAATGTATGAGTATGATACACTCTTCCCCCATCAATGCGACTCGCCTAATCAGTAACATTCAGGGTCTTCATCCAAAGTCTTGGAGCATTGTCAAGAAAAAAAAAAACAACAACAACAGCAGCAGCAACAAAAACAACACCATGCAGTGTTCTTCTCAAATTAAATCCATATGATGGAGATCATGGCGTGTACAAGTGAGGAACCAGGGAGCAAAACGCCTCCCCCCTCTCACCCTCCTTGAAATAGAACATAAGGTCAATTGTAGTTTTAGTGTTTATAATAAAGGTATGAAATGCCGTTTCATAAACTCATTAAATGAGGCAAATACTCATTTCAGTGTTTGATATAACGACATAAATGTCGTTTCATTTACTCATTACCATGTGAAAGTAACATTATCAATAACTGACTACATGAATTTAAATCTTCTGCCCGGCTAGGAAATGATAAAGACAAACAACAAATAATTCCGGACTTTAAATATTTTACAAGTGTATCAAATTCCGGGCAACGTATCCGCAACACCACCCCTGTATACACTGAATTATCAAGTTATGCACGCCCGACAGTATTCTAAAAATATTAATTTCCGTCTTGACAGATGATTATAACATTAACACCGGTCTTATGGGAAGTTACACAAAGTACATGGTTCCTAATAGATGCTTCGGACATTCTAATGTACATAGTCATGCGTATGGATCATATTTCTTATGTAAACACTCGAGAACCCACATGTAATGACTGTATAGACCTGTGGAGATGATTATGTTGTTTGTTTCTCTCACTTCCTGGACGCCCATATAAGGTCTACAGACATGTCGCTGGTAATATTAATGCTATTACTCAGTTAGGATTTATATTGTTGCTAACGTCACATTTAAATACTTGACTAATCATCTTTTTTATCAATCATATTTTAAAAATTAGTCTCATAATTAAGTAGTAGCAGAAGTATTTGTAAAGTAGTTTTGGTAGTGGTAGTGATGGCGGCGGTGGTGGTGGTGGTGATGGTGGTGGTGGTGGTGGTGGTGGAGGTGGTGGTGGTGGTGGTGGTGGTGGTGGTAGTAGTAGTAGTAGTAGTAGTAGTAGTAGTAGTAGTAGTAGACTAGTAGTAATAGTAGTGATGGCATTGGTAACAGCAGTAGTTTGAGTAGTTAATTTAAAAAAAATTAGCCGCCTTCAACATCCCGAGACGAAAATTATAGTGTGAAATTCCAAATTATTTTGAGTCAACCTTGAGCTGAATGGTCATATTACGAAGGAAGATATCAAATCAAATCCTAAATCCTAAATTGTATCTATGATACAGAGCTATCTTATTTAGTATGTTCGGTAGGTTTCAAGTTATATACCTTTAAAGCTTATCTGCCGTAGTTTACAGGAGGGATTAGACTGCCCTGCAAGGTCACTGGACAGGTGGTTATCTCATCAACTCAGCTCTCAGTTAACATAAGAAAAAGAGGATCATGGGGGACTAATGGTCACCGATTATGCATTGTTTGTTATATAGAGGGCGCAAGTAGCTACAAGTAGTGCAGTGGGCCTTTAAATGGTATATTCTCCCAAACGAACATAAAAATCCGGGTATTTCAAGTCTAGAAACCTAAACTATATTGTGGTTTTCTACCTACATTGTACATGGAGTGACTACTAAACGGGAAGTCCACACTGATTTGTCATTGGTTTTAATAGAAACAAAAAAATGAAAGGAATATGTCAGTGAAACTTTCAGTAAAATCGGATTTAAAATATTAAAAATGTTAAAAATAACAAGTTATGAATTTTTGAAGTTGTGATCATTCAAACACACTGCGTCATTTCATGCTCACATTGATTTCATTGATGAATTGAATTGATTGATATTGCGATTTCTCACTTTAGCCAATGTCTACGATTTAACTGTCAATGCAATGCTCCCACCTGAATAGCAGTTAAGATGTCATTTTCCGCAATAAAATACATCGCCGTCGGGCTTTGATTGAAGAACGAACGAAAGTCATATTTGCATGAAATTGTTATTGACATATTATTCTCAAATGTTTACTCACTCACCGGAATGTAACCATTGATATTACCATGATAAAGCAAAATGTTTTCGAAATGTGTTTGCTTATGCATGAAATCTGCGGCTATGGCATTTTCGTCTCACTCAAATTTTACATCCATTTCAAAAGGAATAATTCATCTAACCTGCTGAAGTTGGTAAATAAAGCTGTTATTATGAGACCGGTGACGTATATATTAGTTCTTGCCCCACTAATATTTCGGTGTAACTTTTGCTGTGATCGTGTCACGTATTATAAACTCCGTTACAGCTCAGATTTTGGTATTTCATACTTTGATAAATTTAATCTATATTACGAATATCAGTATATTCATATTAGAGAGTATGGTCTAAGCACTCTAACCGTTTCATGACAGCATAACAATTTTGATAGAAATATCTGCCAAGTATTCTTTACAGTATGGCTGTGAACGATAATAAAAACAAAATAATGCATAACATGCTTTAAGGAACTAAAATAAACTCCTTTTTATTCATTTAACTTTCAGTTCCATGCATGTACTTGAGAATAAATACCTTAGAATAAAATCAAGATTAATATTAACTCTTTTTTGTTCAAGATTTAGTTATATGCAAATATTTGAGGATAAGTACCTTAAAATAAAATCACTGGAAGACAAACGTAAGACCACTTCCAATGAAGAAAAAAATATAACTCCAAAATCTAAAACAAGGCAACATGTCCCTGTTGTAAGGAGCATGGTTAGAGAAGTACAAGGCTAATGCAAACGCTTGAAAAGTAATTATTAATCACAATTGTGGGTAAAGCTCACAACCAGCAAATAAATGGAGTCATCTCAATTAGAATGCATTCTTTGAATGTAGTAAGTTTCAGTCAAATATCGTGGATATAATCTTGTTCAAACCCATGACTTTTGTTAGTTTCGTTAGGATTTCGGTCAGACGGAAGTACACATAAGCATATTTAATTGATTATATTAAAATCTATAGTCGGACAGAATATCCAGCAAGACCATTGAGTTGTCTAACCCTTCGTTCAGAAAGATGGACAAATCATTCTTGATTTAGCGCATTACAATGATACGGGACGCAAATGGTTTCCTAAATTGATTTTCTTTCATGTATCCTAGTAAGAATTTTGTTTCACACAACAAAACAGTGAGAACACTCAAAATGCATTACACTTCTTTAATATACGTTAGCTTCAAGTCAGTTATATATGTCAATAGTATAATAGTTATCAGTTAGCAATGAATGTCCGTTAAAGCAAAATTACCACTCACCAGTATCCAGCCTGTATTAGAAGCCTTCCAGCCGTTAAAACAAATGATGTCGAAAAGTACTTCCGTGTTGCTTATCAAAAAGCGATTTCATAAAACAAAATTCTCGAAATGATCACGAATCACTGATTTCTTCCAAGAATATTTCGAATTGAAGTTAACCCCGCAACTGCACAATGTGGAATGAATCTTTGAATAATCTTAGAAATGAGAAGCGATGCGTTAGAGTTGTTCGGTGGCTTTGAAAGCCTGGAATATAATCTTGCCAGACGATACCGTGCGCACGGCAAAGCAATTTATGATTGTCTGTTTCGCGCCAAGACCGTGGATGCGCGCTGGCGTAACAATCGCTCAAGTCGACGTTTGTTCTTACTTTCTCTTGCAATCGATCCATCGAGTCCGCTCTGCTTGCGTCTCAACATCCATGCACTTTCTACCAATCGCCCGGGATGAAAGCGTTACCTAGGCAACGCATCAACCAGTGTTCTGAACCTTTTCTTGGTCTTCCATTCTCGAGATTCCCCCCCCCCCCCTAATTTACATTATCCGAGTCGATCTGAGGCAATCACATTTTCGGTGTCGGTTGATGTTTTTTTCAGAAGACTTACTAATGTATAATCGTCTTACCAACACTGTTTAAAACTGCCTTATATTATGTCCGTCTACCGACGGTTTTAAGGTCTTAAATCGATGTGCAATGCTTAAGTGCAAGGTCAGACCTCCCTTTTTTTTAAAGCTGAAAGAAGATGGTTGTCCTATTCTTTCGATACAGTCAATGACTGTTCAACTTGATTCTATAGTATTGGTCGTGAAACGTATGCCAAGGTTGCATGAACCAAGTTTATATTTCTGATTACCTCAAAATATGAACATATCTGATGTATACGAAATGTTCATATATTTATTCACATTTTACAGAATAGATGAGCTTTGATTCCGTTGGCATATTGAATGTATATTATAGATAGTAGTAAAGAGTAAGTGTTTTGGAAGGAATGAGTATTTGAGGGAATCTGATTTCGAAGCATGACATAATTATTGTTTAAACGAGTGACAGTGTGAATCATGTCTCGAACCGGAATGGCAGATACCATCTCTCCTTCTCCCCCTCCCCCTCCCCCCCTCTCTCTCTCTCTCTCTCTCTCTCTCTCTCTCTCTCTCTCTCTATATATATATATCTATCTCCATCTTATTTAACAATTCCAGCAATATGACTTCACAATGAAAATACAGGCAGGTTGAGATGTATACGCAACTCCTCCCCTACGCGCGACTGACAAAAAGCGCGCATTCCTTTTATGACGTCATTAGTATTGCGCATTGATCGAACTAACTCGTATCCAAGCAAATGCACCCTCCTCCAAAATACACAAAATCACAGTGCAGTGCAGTCCAAATAAATATATCTACATTTTTATCTGTGTGGCGCTTAACCCCATTACATCATATGCATCACCAATCCTTCAAGACGGGCTAAGTCAGCGCAAACGTTTTATATAAATATAATGAGAAGGAATAATATTCACCTTGGACTCAAGATATGGGATTGATATCGTACTTAATTGACTTAATGACTGGCTCGTGTGAAGCTGGTAAGTATAAGGAACGCTAGAGGTTACCCTTCGTAGCCAGTTTGAAACGCAATGAGATGTGAAATACAAGGACACTGATTGATGTGTTTGTCGCCTGCTTGTCATTTCGACGTGTTCGTATGTAATGGAGCAGAGGGAAAAACGCAAATCCAATCGATTTTTTGTTTAACATGCCCTTTACAGCCGAAGGTTATTCTATATCACTGTCAAGGGTGTTTGTTTTGTTTTGCTTTTGAAGAAAATATATCCATCTTGTGCAAGATGGCATGAGACGATGATATAGATAAATTTATATTTTGTAAAAAGAGATGAACGAAATGTTTCTCAGGGCTGAGATTTAACTTGTTTCTGGGATGGCATAGGTACATGTATAGGGCACTGCTCGATTAACACAACTGAGTGGTCGTTCACTATATTCTTGATTTTGAATGCAATTTTATATTTTGTTGTATTGTTTTTTAAATTGTGATTAGGATAATAAATACCACACCATACCGTAATATCTTCCCATTGAATAAACACAAATGGAAAAGGGAAATGAAGAATGTGTCGAAATGACGTTGTCTTTTATTATATTCATGATTCAAGAACCCCCTCCCCTCCCCCTCACCCTCCCCCTCTTCAAGGTAGATTTGAAGAATTAATGATACTATAGTGATGAATCATCGCTCTATAGGTTCACGCCTTCGCTTGCTACAAACAAATGATTCAATTATTTAAGCGTTTGGGCTTTAATTTAAGTTTCGACATGTTTTATTAAAAATACAGTATTATGTTAAGCAGTTTAGTGCTATAATTTTGTATTAGATCCAAATAAGGGGTCTTCTCCCCTCCCTTTTCATCTTATTCCCTCACTCACCGTCTCCCTTTCCTGAACCTTTGTTTGATCTTTCTCTATGTTTATTACATGCCTCTATAATTCCATTTTGTATAAGAAGAAAATAGACTATAAGTCATGCAATTATAAATCATTTTTGCATTTTAAATTTTGACGGGGAAAACAATGTGGTTTTATTTTCATTTTTTAATCATCAGATCACGGTCATTATTTTGATGATTTTTTTAATTTTTTTTTTATTCTGTATTATATTGTTATCGTTTTCTGTATTCTGACTTTCATTTCAGCATGGAGTTGGATTGCAGATTGGACTGTGGAGCCGCCCTGGCCTTACAGTTACACATACGGAAAGAGAACACGTTGTGAAGAATTAGTTCTAGCAAAAACAAGTGAGTTCTCTCATGATATGAATCCTTATTAGCTAAGGGAGACCCCCCCGGGGGCGGGTGGGTACTCAAATATTAAGGCATACGGGGATGTACCGCTCTAATAAGTCTTTTTTCACACACAAAATCCTTAAACATTGGTCCCTTTTGTAGAAAAATATCACTAAACATGGGTCTTTTTTCAAAAGATTCCAAAAATTGTGAAAATGGCCCTTAAAAATCGGTAGGGGTTGAGTTTTGAGCGGCACACCCCGTCCAAACCAAATCTGAGTACCCCCCCCCCCCCGAGGGAACAATTTGAATATGAATAGGCAGATTAGAGTAAAATAAGTGTTTTTGTACTTTATGATAGTATTATATAATTTCTTATTGAAAAAGGGAATTTATTTTTAGGTATAAAACCGTCACTTTATATTCCTCCGAAAATTCAGGACCCTGTAACATTAAAATCGACTTACAATCTATCGTTAAAATTTTTCTTTTTAATTACAGGGTACCTCGACGATGAATGGACCACAACTGATTACTTCGACTTCGGCGTCATCGTCCTTGCTGCAGCCCTTCCCATCGTCACATCCATCGTTATGTTGTGCAACATCTTCCTGCCTAGAATACTCGAATGGAGGTCGAGACTGGGTTCGACCACGCTCGACTCAAAGCATGCCACGATACTAAAGTGTGGGGCGCCATCGGACGACCAGGTTTGGAAACAGTGTGATAGCTGCCATCGCCTGGTTCGGATTCAGAGGGAAAGAGTGCGAAAAAAGATCAAAAGAATAAATTGAAGATAATGTTCAATAATAGGCAGTCTGACAATAACATGATTGTATTTCTATACAGAAATAGTCCATAGATATGTAGTTTCCTAGCATATGGCTATAAATGTTGTAAGCAAATATGCGGGATAAAACATTTAAATCAATCATAATACATGTGTAAGAAAAACAGAATGTATCATTTTACTTTTAGAATGATGGCTTTCATAAAATCATGGTTAGAATTATGGTAGACAGAAGGCACTATTTCCTCATAGCTTTTGGAACGATTGAATTGAATAAAAACAAGTAATGATATCATAATCACTCGATAATGGATTTCTGTGGCTTTGTGTAACATAAACATGTGAGGAATGAGTGTTCTTTATTATTATGTAGAAGCGTGAAACACAAATTTAGTAATTGGGGTTTGGTTAATTTGTCAAGTCGTAAGGGTGATTATAGGCCTTAAAGATGGTAAAAATATTCCGTTTTCAATATTTCCAATCATGCACCAACATTGAGCTTCGGCAACCTGGACAATTTCAAAAATGAAACGCACAAGGCATCCGTTTTGCATCAAGATTACAATAACAAATAAAAATATTTAAAAAAAACCCTGAATATATGTTTAATGTCTATAGTCATCAAAGAAACGGTTACGGATATAAACCGTATTAAACTGAATGATTCAGAGCATCAGGTACATAAACCATGAAACTTTTCAAATTGAAAACAAAAACAAAAAATACAATGTTAATTATGAGCTCCTGTATCCATTAAAACCTACCACATTGAAGGCACTTTTTGGCCATTCGACACCAAGTGTTTTAATGGACTATTTGACTTAAAAATGTAACAGCAGTAATGAAATGAATAAATATTGAAAATATTTGTATTCTAATGGCAGTAACCTACAACCTACCTTATTCCGAAGACTGCCGATAGAGGGGGTTAGAGTGCTAATCTATCTCAAACAACCTGTATATACAGATATGTGCATTATTTATTCACATCGATACTTAATTACGTCATTAAAGCATCCGCCACAAACCTACTAGATCATTTCAAACCTTGATTAATTTTCAATTCAATTCAAATCATTTTATTCATTTCCGTTTTCAAGAAAAACATTACAAAGGTATATACAATGATAGGCATTTGCAATATATAAGAAAATGAAAATTTGGATAATTAATTAGAGGAAACCTCACTCCAAAAGGTAATAACAGTTATTCTGACAGAGATGAGATGTATTCCTGCCCTTTGATGTACAAAATCCCTTACTTAAGTGTATAAGAGATATATAAAAGAAAATATTCATGGTATGATGTTTAATACCTTTTAGCATGACATTGGGAGCAGCCATTTTCTTGAAACAGTGACGTATTAGGCGAACATGTCATTTATAATGCACCAAATTTTAGTTGAATTTTGTTTTCAATTCAATAACAAAACCTTTACTTTTCAATATGGGAAAAATCATAGCTGAGGAGTTAAAGATTATAATTTGTAACAAAATATATGACAGGGGCACAAATAATGTAAATCATTTATTTAAAAATACTAAAATAAAGCAGTTGACAAATCTATTTAATTTATGCGAAACCTTCAGCCCAGAAGAGCACTAACTTATTTATGCAATTTGCGTTCTGACAATATTAGTATAAAAGACAAAAGCAGGTGAATGAAATGCTTCATCACCACACGCAGCTGGGAAGGAAACGTCCATAAATTTGAATGCATGATACATCACGTATTCAAGGAAATAGCGATACCTATGTCTTGCTGAAAAAACTGTAAATTATTCTTGCTTTATAAATGTACCTTTCTCATACAGTTTGGTAGGGAATTTTGTAGATTCATGGGCAAAAATATCTTAAATCTCACAGAATAACTTAGTTATCTATTGGGGTGAGGTTTCCTTTAATCATTCATAGAGCCTAGCATTATGTATTATTCCCTCGGAGGACTCTCCCACGTAAGCCGGACAAAGCAGCAGTGCATTACATTGGCAGAACTAGAAAAATGTGGACCATTTATCCCTTCTCGATTTCTTCCCTTTTTCATTGTTACTTTTCTTCTTTTTCCCGTTAGGCTCTTTTTAGGGCCAACCAACCATGTCGAAATATTACGTTGTGTACCCGCTAACCTCGATCAAATTCTCCTGTATTAGTTTGGATTGATACATATCTATAGAGTCACCCGATCTGGTTTATACATAAAATTAATCTAGAGGTTTATTGATCAAAAGGTTATTGATCAAAAGGTTTCTAAGTCGGAAGGTTTCGCCATCAGAAGATTATTAATCCACACGTTCATTAAATCATGGTCCATGATTACATCAAAGGCTTATTAATCCGAGGGGCTTATCTGAAGAGTAATTTATTTCTAAAAAGAAATAGAGCAAAATAGAGCAATATATAATAGGAGTTATATACGAAATGTCGTAATAATGAACAGTATTACCTATAGGAGGTAATTTTTGACTCGATCAAGATGATTTTAGTAAGTGCAATATTTCCTGATAGCTTCCTCAAGGCTAGTCGATATTATATAAATATTTCACTTAGGGAATTATGAATCTTTGAAATAATTACATTTATTTTACAAAACTGAGTTATGAACCTACAAAATATCAGACTCCGGAATAATGCACCTTTGAAGTAAGATACCAAATGCTCGGAATTGTAAAGCTTATTTCATTTTCGGAATAATTACCCCCTGGTGTAGGAAGTAAGTGGGAAATCTGAAACTTCAGACACTCCACTTACGAGTGTCTCACGGCCTAGCCCCTAGCCCCCTACCGCCCTGAATTATCTGGTTTTACTCGTACTGTTATTGTAACTGACTGTCTTTGTCAGGTTGCAGAAAAGAAAGGAAAAATAAAACGAATAAGGAAATCTTATTCATTTCTCGTGATTTAACTAACATATACTACGTCTTTGAATGCCACGGTCGTTGACGCTTCGTAATTAGGGACTTTTAGATTGAGTGGACGAGAACACGACGAACGCCGACTGATCATGCGTGTCAACGTACTTAACTGCCCATGTTGACTACACTTAGAAATCTTTTAGATTGCACTCGACGATATACATGCATGCAGGAAGTAACACTATGAACATCACGGACAACGAAAGAGGACAAAATATACAGTTCCTTATTCTACCCTCAACAAAAGAACATCCCTTTACTGCTATTATGTGAAAATGTGTAGAACAGGTGTATATACATGAGACACCTGTTCCACACATTTTTACATAATAGCAGGGAAGGGATGTTCCTTTGTTTACCTGAGGAACTGTATATTTTATGCGCACGCGGCATACTAGTATCTTGTGCATGTAAAGGCGCTATATAAATATCAATATGTATTTATGTATGTACTAGATTTAGGAGAATCAAGGTTGACGCATTCTTGATCGCCGACTGAGACGACGTAACGCATGCGCAGTGCCTTAAAATGACGTCACACGTTACAGTCAAAGCTGTCGACGTGCAAATCTAAAAGTCCCTATTATGAGAGTCAACTACACAAAATAAATGCAAAATGAATGGCGCAAACATTGCATTAAATAACTAGTGTATGCATTGATTGTCTTCATATACATGTAGGTACAGGTGGGTAATCTTTAAAATAACGCCTCGTCCATGTGCAATAAGTATCATTCAGTTAAACCACCTAGCGTCGGGTTTAAGTTTTAGTAGGATTCAGGTCAGAGTTGATCCCAAGACCAGCTCATATATCTCTCCATAGGTTTTATACGGGGTCACACCCTTTTAGGAGCACCACGAAGTGTCACAATTTGCAGGTAAAGCTGCTACACCACCTTTGTTCTTTCCCTCTTCACAGGGGAAGTAAACGTGAGCAGTCAGGAAGTGCTCCACCTGTTCCATCATATAAAGCGTGTTCACGCTGCTTGAAAATAGTGTTTGCAAGCAAGACTAATTCGCAGCTTTAATCTATTCATTACCTTTGGTATAAACTCACCAATTTAAAACCCGGCTTTTATCACCCGAGTATGATATGCCATTGAGTGTAAGAGGATTTCTAGAGCTTTCGAGAAATCGAAGGTAATTCATAACAATATTGTACAAGTTCTTGCTTTTAGAAATCATGTGCGGATTGCGTTATATATCGTTGTATAATTTGTCCGAAATTTGAACAGGAGAAGGTCTCTAAATCAACCTAGGATGATTTTTAAAGGATTTTTTTCAATCTTTGTTCAGTGCTTGAGTGTTGATATCAACCATTATCAACACAAATTATATGATAAAAACAAAACACTTTGTAATTAAAAGAAAAAAAGAAAAAAGAAAAGACTGACTTGATGGCTAAATTGACCTAATGAAGTAAGGAAACATATTACACATAAGTTTTATAAAGGATTACCACGCCTTCAAGCTTAGGTTATGTTGCAATCCTTCTCAATGATTTTATAATTTGTTTATTATCAAGATTATGTTGAAATTAGTTTGTAACTTTTGAAAAAGACCATAAAGGAAAAGAAAATAAATCGAAATCAATAATAGATCAATATTATGGATGCTTCGGAGTTCAAAATAAGCAAAAGTATTTGTACTTGAAAATGTTTATATTTTCAAGTGATTTAAATTTACTAAGGCCATACGCTAGGGTTGAAATAATACGTGCGTGATTTGAGGTGTATGTTATTCACGTTGGCGTAAATCATGCACTATTAATTTTTTTTTTCAATCATTATAAAAGCAATCCTTATCATGAGGCATCGCTTCTTATGTGTGATAATTCTTTATAAAATATTAAACTTTCACTATGCGAATCCAAGCTTATATTTAGAACTGTGCAATTTTATGTTAATTTTAACAGTGGGGCAAAATTGATCAGTCATTTTAAATTCCGTAAATGTTTAACTACCTATCCAATTTTAAATTATGCTTGTACATATTATATTTAATTTCATTTCCTGATCTCATTTTGTTATTTTACTCTTGCATAGTATTTTACCTGCACTGTGAAAGCATGTACAACTCAGTATATGACTGCTATTCACGTATTTATAAACCTTGATTGAATTGAATTGATACTCGTCCACATAAATCATGATTCTTTTTGTTTTGGTTTTAACGAGAATGCTCACATCATCATCAGAATCATTTTTTTTACCATTACCAAAAATGAGCTTTCTCTCTACCGACTGAAGGTGAAACCGTTAAATATTTATACTTCTGCCTCGTGGGACTATAGCAACGACAATTAAATATACATTATGTATCTTATAATTGGATTAATGAAAGACAAACGCTCCGTGGGAATCAAGTGGGTTTTATTGGCATTATGGTATCTGGGCTAAACGTGTTGACACATCAAAGGCTCCGTGATAATCTAGTGCTTGTGATTGGTGTGACGAGATCTGAACTGGAAGTGTTAACACACCCAATAACTCTGTTAGTCGATGCGCCCTTTCTGTATTCAGCATTCCAGCAAATAACATCACAGCCTTCATGACCATTGCTAACGTGTTGGGAGATTGAACATTAAGTATAGCGATTTAATTTATGAATATTGACAATGTAATAAGATTTGTGTTGGTAGTCGTCGACCAGGCCGGAATCATTGACGTCGTCATCATCGATGTCGTTTCGCATCGTTTTTAAGGTAAATCATTATTAAAATGTACTTTAATTTGCAAAGTTTGCCCACAATAATATTGTTTATGACATTTTGAGAAACAGTTTATGAAACAAGATCGCAACTACTTTCGAAATTCAACCTAAGGTGATATCAATGGCCTTTTACGTCACCTTTTAAAGCGCGAGAACATCAAAATGACGTATTACGTAATCCGAACGTGATTTCTAAATTGAGCCAGAACTGTTTTTTTTTTCTTCTCGAAAGTAGTTGCGACTGTGTTGAAGTATAACTGAATCGTATCGTGTGATTGATAATACAATACACTTAATTTGCTGATATTGTATTGGACTATATTGAAATTATTTGAATTCAGGCGTAATGGCTCGGTGGTAGTGCAGTGGACGGGTAACCGCGAGAATGAGGGTTCGAAACCAAGTCGATGCACTAGTGCTGTTTGGTAAGGCATTAATCATCTTAGTCCTGCCCAAGACCCTCGGACAGAACTTAAAACCTTCACTCTCCTGGTAACTTACTTTCAAGCATACAAATAGTTTCTGAACAGTGGGGTAAACAAAAATCCATACATGTATTTGTCATACCAAACTGAATATGCATAAAGCCTTTCAAAGTTCTCGCGTTTGTATGATATACAAATATCGAGAAAATATAGAGAAAAATACATTTTCAAGACAACAACATAAAAATAGAATTTACACAAAAAAGTGTACTAAGGCATTTACAAGAGTAACGTTCAAGAAAAAAACATTTCCGAGACATTAAACATATATTGCATTAAAAGTCTCTAAAAAATGTCGATAAACATGTATATGCTTACATCAAGTTGTTTTCCCTCACATTACTAATACGAACAAACACCTCTTTTACTTTACGTTACCCTTATGTTAAAATGAATATCTTCAAATTTTTAAACAGTAACTTAATATTTTCAATAAGCGAGTTAGTGTACATCTGATTCACTTTATTTCTCTCCCCTTCAAGCTATAAGATATTTCTTCATATTGTCTCTCATCTTTTATTTAATTTATAGTTTTTTTCATTCCTTAACTCATAGCCTGCCATGAGGCTGCTTGCACGCTATTGTTACGCTGCTTCTTGCATGCTAGCAAACATTCGTAATAGCAGTTATTGTTCATGCCTATTGGACTGTGCCTAGTGCTTTGCACGCTCTATTGTTAGTACCATCGCGTTAATCCGATTATCTCGTTATAAATCTGGCACTGGGGGGATTAGCCCTGTGGCAGGATAAGAGTTAATATAACCGTTTCATCAAGGGGCTTAGTTGCCTCGTGTTACACGTACTTTGATCTGAATTCGGTTCAGAGATTTTGACTATTCGCATTTATCGCTTTGTTAATCCTATGTCTTCCTAGAGTATATAAGCATGTCACAAGTACCACATAATTGTAGAGTACATAACAAAGTGCCCTTCGTACAGCCTTCTTTTATTGTTTAGTTTTTAAACTAATGCTTTTCGTTATAATATTTTTATGTTTACACATTGTATTCCAAAAGGCGTGTGCTTGTTTATAGCATGAATGTATTCATAAATGTAATCATCCTAAAACGCGTTACTCTGAACGGGAGCGCACAAATATAGATAAAACGTTGAGAATGTTTTTATCGAATTTGAGCGGCTTTCAGGACTGGTCATTCAATGGTGTGAAAACATTTTCCTGTCCAGCAAATGTAATCAGTCAGAATAAAAGAGATAAAGTCGCAAGGTATTCCTTCCCGGTATTTTCTAATACCCCCGTACTCGGATTGGAGGCTATTGTAACCGGGTCTGTCTGGCAATTATCCTTTTAAGCGCCGTTATAAAAGTGCAATTAATAAAGAGAGGCGTTATTAATTTCAGCGTTGTCATTTACCGATTGTACAATAAGAGTATATTAACTAATATTTATGACCAGTCGGGTAGTGAAATATTAAAGAGCAGGAAACATTTGGAATATGCGATGGAATTTTACCCTCGGTGCAGAGTACTTTCTACATTCATCATCTTCGATATCATAAATTAGTCCAGGAAACATATTTGTATGCTAATTGCCTATCGGCGATGAAATGAGTATGGTAAGGGTAAAGGCAAAGGCAATAAAATACCCCACCACGAAAAAAATTATGATATAACTATATATAGATTTGTTGATTTCCCGGTTGCTATAGCATTTTAACCATCATTTTCTTTTAAATGATTTCCTTGTCGTATTAACATAAATCACCATCCTAATGAATCTATGGACGTTTATTACCATTGTTCATTCGGATGTCATATTATTTTTGAGCCACGAAGGATTGTTTCTCATGATTAATTCATAATGGCAAACGCGATCGTGGTGTGTGTGTTCGGTCAACAGTTTCTATTGTTCATATTGTTGAGAGTTGAGCGTTGGACCTTAGATATTTTCAATTATCCTTTATCGACCCTACGTGCTTCTCGAGGCATATTCGGCAAACATGTCCGGCAAAAGGACGATTTCAATGACAGTAGCAAATTATTGATCAAGCACTTAAGGACTGACCAGCAAATTTGATTTTGAATAATGATTTTATTCTCCGTGTGTGTCCACTTCAACAACAAAATTCAATCAATGGTATTCTGATTTATTGTGTATCGGTTTATTGATCAGCTATTCACGATTATTTCTCTTTCTTTGTATCATTTCATCCAGTGATTTCTCTGACCGCTATGTGAACAGAAAGAATCTATATTTACGTGACGAGGAATCTACGAAGAGTGTTTTACCATTTGTTTCGTAATTATGAGAGTCTTCAAAGGATTCGTGACCCTTGCGAGAACTCGAGTTGGTACGACCAGTCTCTTTCAACCCACCATCCCAATCAATGGACTGATTGACAGTCCTGGACATTTTACTTAAACGGTCAAAATATTCCTTTGAAATAATTTTTGTTTGGTTTTATTGGAAGTAACTTGTGATCGAATTCGGGACACTGATTTTGAACAGAGGACTGAGAAGGTTCAAATCTACGGAACTGTCGAAGCAGCTTTCTTTTCTACTGCTCCCGAACTCTGGAACAGCCTACCTCTTCAAGTGAAATCATCACTAACTGTAGAACAATTTGAACACGGTTTGAAGACACTCTATTCTGAAGTCGTACGTATTTACTGAACTCACACTGTCTCTGCTTTAATAGAGAACTTTTTCTTAAATATAATTTATTTGTCATTCTTATATTATATATATTATACACTCTGAAACTAACCCATTTAACTCTAACACTATAACACTGACTCGTGGAAGGCATCTGAAAGTGCTTTGTATCTAGTTGAAAAGACGCTATTTACATTTTGAATATCATAATATGATTTAAAGTGAACCATAAAAGGTTTTCTCTTTCATTCACAGTCTTCGCAGTCCATAGATAAGTTCTTTTGAACCTTGCGAGCTTTTTGCTGATCGGTTGCCCCTATCCCTCCAGGATGTCATCAGTGTGTGACAACTCCACAGTCGCCTTCGAATTCAGCGTCCAGGGTATCATTGCTGCATGGATCTTTGCCACGACGTCTTTATTAGGAATCCCAGGAAACATTCTGGTCATCGTGGCCGTTGCCCTGTCTCAGCAACTGCAGACGTCAACAAACATATTCGTCGTCGCTCTCGCCGTCATCGACCTCCTCAACTGCCTCCTCTTGCCTGTTCAAGTTATGTCTCTCCTAGGAATTGGAAGGTCATTCGCTTTCGACTGGACTTGTACGATTGATGCAGTGTGTATGTACGTATTCTTAGGAATCAGTGTGTCTACATTAAATCTGATCGCCTACAACCGATTCTACATGATTACGAAAGCAGGAAGAGATTACACTCGACTGTTCACAAAGACAAACATGGCAGCCATGCTCCTGGGAGTTGGCGGCACAATATCGACGGTTACTGTCGTCTTCGCGGCAACAGGAATCGCCAAATTCGGACACTACGAAGGCATCTGCGCTCACGTCGAAGGAAAATCCTATACATACCTATCTGGCGTGTCGTTGCTGACCTCTCTCATCGTTATTGTGGTGTGTTACGTCAAAATCTATAAACACGTCAAGCGCCATTTGCGCCACGTTGTGTCAATAAAGGATAATTCAGTTTCTGAAACCGTCACAATTGTCGCATTGCCTTCTGAATGTCCGCAAGCCAGAGAACTACGGGAGGAACCAAAGCCAGTCAATGCAGGATTTGCGCAGCGCCAGAGGGAACTCGAAACTAAGATCACAACGAATATGCTTATTGTCATCGTTTTCTTCTTCCTGTGCGTTTGCCCATCCATCTTGACATTGATTCTACCCGGTGATCAGCAAGCTAGCGCCATCATCGTCGCCATCATTGCCCTCAACAGCTGCCTAAACCCTCTCATTTATGCCTGGAAGCACCCGGTGTTCAGACACGTCTTCAAATGCATCATTGGTCGAAAGATAAGGGAAATCAAGGAACCTACACAATGGGCTCGGTCACTCCGCAGGACAGTCAACGTGACAGATCAATGACAACGGAATTATACACTGACGCTGTTGAGTGAAATATGGGTGTAAACGTACGACTATTGATTGGATGTGCATGCATTTGTAACTGGAATACTTTTGTTATTATACCTGACATAGCCAGTGGTATATCTTCAATAAAAGAAATAGATTTGCATTTGTTTTGAAGAAAAAGGATTAAAGTAGTCCATACTTTATGATAGCCTAATGATTTCTGTAATCTAAAGAAGCATAAGACATTATAATTGTAAATTTCTGCAGTTACACTCCATTTGAATGATTCCAGCTGCCACTGGAAATTTTCGCGCAGGTAAAGCTTTTTTTTATTAAGCAGGGAAACATTGGAAATGGTAGTAAAGGTGAATCAAGAAGGCAAACATTTAGTATACCATTTTATTAAATGAAATTTGTCGACGATAAAATGCTTTTTCGTATGTGTGCGTCTTCTTAAGGCGCCGAGAAGACCGGGGAAACAAGAACAATTTTTAAAAATCTAATACACTATAAACAATATTTATATTGTAACATGTCCTACGTTGTAAAAGAATTTTAAAATATATTTTACAACAAATTCAAACTGTTTCATTTTCACTCTAATATGAAAGCCTCACACAATGTAATTATGTTTAATGCAGATTGTTTTCTATAAATGATTTAAATGTGCAAATGGAGCCGTCTTGCAAACATGATGACAGCGTTACGGGACAGGTGTACATCTCGCCCCCGCCCTATATTTTATTTTATGATTTGAAAAACATGATCCCCAAATTTGATAAGTTTTTTTTCTTTGCTAGTCAAAGACTTTTTGAAGACCTACAATGAATGCTCCCTAACAAACATTTCCCCGCTCCTGTGCTAACAAAGCAATGTTTCTAGATGTCATTCCCTTTGTCGTCATCAACAATGAGTTTAATGTAATATTTCAAAAGTGTCAATAATTTCAGTTCCTCTACATTTTCTTCACTATTCAAATGATTCTGTTTAATTTACTATGCTGTTAATTTATAGGCCTTTTTTCTTCTCTTCGATATTTTTTCAAGACCACGTTTAGAAGTGTACATTACATTATTTTTCAATATTCTTCATCACCCCGTTCGTGCATTTCGAGTCTTCAGCGCTGTGTCTGTATTGAGAAAAACACTTAAAATATCAGGTTCACTTTAGATTTGGTAGACTTACAGTGTCTCCCATCGCACTAACTGTATTTCAACAAACAATAGAAGAAAATTACTAATTGAGTCTTTGTTTGGCATCAAACATCAATCAGCCATTAACGATATCTATACCTCGTTACAAATATATGCATGATATTCAATCATCCTGCACTGGAAACGAGCGGTGATTCCTTAGAAACATTCTAAATAGAACCACAAGTCCATCTTGACTCTCGAGCTTGGTATATTGATTTGGTAATTGGCTCCTGTGACATTAAGGGTTGCTATTTTTTGCGGAGGACTTCATAAGTGAAAGCTGCTCAAATGTCTAGGGTTTGGAGGTAGAAGTCGCGTCTTTGTGCCACAGTTGGTTGTGACATATGCAGCCTTGTAAATTATAATCTAAAGGTATATTTACGTTCATAATCTACGAAGCATGATGTCTTCTGTAGGTAACTTTACAGAGGATGCCTCTAATATGAGTGTCCAGCGGATTATCGCAGCATGGCTCTTTGCCACGACATCGTTCCTGGGAGTTCTAGGAAACATCTTGGTCATCGTGGCAGTCTCCCTGTCATGTCGACTGCAGACGAAAACAAACATATTCGTGGTCGCTCTCGCCGTCATCGACCTCGTCAACTGCCTTCTCTTACCCGTTCAAGTGATGTCTCTCATCGGGGTAGGACGATCGGTGTCCTTCGGCAGGGTTTGCACCGTCACTGGTGTAGCCATGTCTGCCTCCATGGGAGTGAGTGTAACTATCCTAGTACTCATAGCCTTCAATCGATTCTACATGATTACCAAAGTAAAAACAGACTATACTCGATTATACACGACAAGGAATATAGTGGCCATGATTGTCGCTTGCGCTGCGGTACCGAGTTTCAACGTCGTATTAGCCGCATCAGGACTTGCCAAGTTCGGATTGGACGAAGGTATATGCTCTCATGCTGAAGGCAACTCATACTCGTACACAGCTGGGGCATGGCTACTGGTTTCCCTGCTCATTATTGTGATCTGCTACGTCAAAATATATCAACACGTCAAGCGCCATTTGCGTAGCATAGGGTCGGAGGAGCATGCTAAAGGCAGTCCACAGGACGCGTCGACGGTTGAATATCCGAAGACCACAGAACTAGGCGAGGGACCAAAGTTGGTCAATGCAGAATTTGCGCAGCGCCAGCGGGAACTCGAATCGAAGATCACGACGAATATGCTGATCATCATCGTGCTCTTCTTCCTGTGCGTGACACCGTCCATCATCATCCTCTTCGTACCTGACGATCACGATGCAAGCTCCATCACCGTCGCCATCATCGCATTCAACAGCTGCCTCAACCCGATTGTCTATGCCTGGAAACACCCAGTGTTCAGACACGTCTTCAAATGCATCATTACACGGCAGATCACTGATATCAAGGAGCCGACGCGGTGGGCTCGTTCACTCGTAGAAACGCACTCTTAAACAGAAGCATTGGAAATAACACTGCATCGCTTTCATATAAAATATGCACTTTTTGTAGAAATAGTTTGTGTAGTGGGAAATTGCATAGCGCTCATGTTTGTAACGCTTGACATCCCTTGAGATTGCAGAAGACACAATTTTAATAGCACGATGATCACAAAATTGTTTTGATCTGATTCAATTTGACATTGTTTGAAACTATAAGCGGAGTTTATCTTCTTTGACATTCTTTTGCATTCTTGTACATTCATTCCGTGGTGTGGTCATGCGATTGCGTTCTGGAGAGAGGTGAAAAATAAATGGTGAGTGTTAGTATGTTATGATGCAATTGCGAAAGAACGTCACAGAAAAGATGTTCCCTGAAGAGAGGTGAAAATAAATAGTGAGCGTTATTATGTTATTATGTAATTGCGGAAGAACGTCACAGAAAAAGATGTTCCCTGACAAGCATGGCTCTTTAAAATGTTCATATTCAAAATATGGCAAGTAGTATGCCACACGTTTGTGTAGGCCCATATACATCTTTCTGTGTACAGTGCTTGTACCAAGACTAGGCCAAATTTGTTATCATTTTGATGACTGCACAACCTTGCATTACACACCGATACTAATAATTATGATCAATCTTTTTTGATCCATTCCATACCGTTTATTACACAATGCAATCGCATAACCAGAACTCATCTTTAGTATATTTCTAAATGCCAGTACAACATATGCTAATAAATATTCAGATGATTTCTGTTCGAAGTACCTGCAATTTTCTGCAACGAAACATTTCATTTCAGTTCAATTAAAAAGCTGGTTACATTGATATATTTCGCATGAAATCATACAAACCATGAATTTCATTGAAGTTTATATATTGCATTTACAAAATATTGTAGTTATAACAGTTTAAAATATATGTACATGCATATTATTAGCATTTAAAATGTTTATACATATTAAATTAAAAAAAATTATAAAAGAATAGCAAAAGCATTTATGTCGTAACCTTTTTGTAAACAAGAAGGTGATGCAAACCATTTAAAAGGGTACAACTTATAAACTGTGTCTAAAGCCTCGGTCACAAATGCCATTACGAACTGCTACGAACGCCGTACGAACGATTTTCAGACAATGGAAATTCGGAAGACAATGGAAAAACAGGGAGATTCGTACGAAATTATCGATCGTACGAGCCTTTGTGACCGTAGCATTAGATTCAAACAAATTGTTTTGCTGCTGTCTTTAAAACCCCTCTAAAGTGTTGGGAGCCCAAAAATTCGCCAAAAATTTGATGGCAAATTGCACATAAGTTGTATCATAACGGAAAGAGAATGGCACACTTTAGCAAAGATTTTCCCCCAAAATATGTGTTTGAAAACCAATATTGATAAAAGAATACACAATTTTGGGTTTTCTGTTGTATGCAGAAAACCTAAATTTCATGTTGCATTCTTTCATCAATATTCGACTTCAAACACATTTGTTTTGAAAATCCTTGCCGAATTGTGTCATAAATGACATCCTTTTTCACATTATGTTACAATTTAAGTGAAATTTTGCCATCAAGTTTTGGAGGCTCCTAACACTTTTGAAGGTAAATTGTACATCATTGATAACATGCGAAACTTTGCCTTAAATTTCTACTGGAATATCTCTTTGCTTCATGTATTTTATACTTTTATGTTTTAAAAGAGATCGATGTCTTTTTTTTCTGCCGATTTGTTTTGGTTAAGTCTTGGGCAGTAAATACTGTTATTGTTGCTATCAGTTTTCGGTATACTGTAAAATCATGAATAAATAAGAGATAAACAAAAATTGTTTGATCTCCTATGTTACTATCGAAATGAACCCTATCTTAAGACTTTTCTTTGTGTAGGTCACATTGTATGTAGTCGGTTTCATAATTATGCACGGGTTTTGGAATAAGTTTATGATTAAATTAAAACTTATAGATGAACAGCCTGTTTTAAGACTAAACAATTTCCATTCAATATACTGTGAAATCAGTCAGAGAGATTTAATAACAATAATGATAATCTGGATTTATATAGGCTAGCTCTTAATACAAAACACCGTCTCTAAGCGCTTTACAAAATATTTAATACGGTGTTCTCTGTTTTATTGCGAAACCTTCTTTAATGGACTTTTTAAAGGAGATTAGTATAACAAAAAACATATCGTAATGATTATATTATGATAAATCCATGTACAGATGCTTCATGGTTATGATGGTCATCGACTTGTTTATGTGCAGGCTACTCAATTATCATGATAGATAAAGTAAAATAATTGGGTAGCAGCGAAGGGTAGAGTAAATGAGAGAATAGGGAAAGATGAGCTTGGCTGATTATTCTCATATCAGATCATGGGGAATACGTGTGCGTGTGCATGTGCGTGTGTGTATGTGTGGGTGTGTATGTATGTGTAAGGGAGAAAGAGAGAGAGAGAGAGGGTGGTGGGAGAGTGGAAGACTCGAGGGGGTTGGGGAGGAAGGGACAAAATTAAAAGCCTGTTTAAAAGCCACACATCCAGGTCCGTCTTTGCTTTCTGATATACCTCCGTACTTTGACATTAATACTTAATTTCATTATACATGAATTATAAAAGAGCCGCCCTCTTTATTATCTCTCTCTCTCTCTCTCTCTCCGTCTGTCTGTCTCTCTCTCTCTCTCTCTTTCTCTCGCTCTCTTTCTTTCTGTCTCTCTGTCTCTCTGTCTCTCTCTCCCTCCCTATCTCTCTCCCTTTTATCTGAGTCTTTCAATTCTTCTTCTTACTGGGAGAATATTAGCCGGTTAAGTTCAATAATCTAAATGAATGTATGTTTCTTTCGTAATTCCTCGGGACCTAGTGACAAGTCATCCATGAACTTGTTATTGATAAATCAACTATAATACTCGGAATCCAGTCTGCAAACATTACTTGTTGTTTGGCAAATCTCGGGCGAGCTTTCAGGTTGTCAAAAAAGTTAAACCTGTCCATTTGTAGAGATACTATTTGAATGCAAAGAGAAAGAGAGAGGGAGGGAGGGGCCGGGAGAGGGGGAGAGAGAAAGAGAGATAGATAAACAGCCAGAGAGAGAGAGAGAGAGAGAGAGAGAGTGAGAGGAGAGAGAGAGAGAAGGAGAGGAGAGAGAGAGGGGGAGGGAGAAAGAGAGATAGATAAACAGAGAGAAAGAGAAATAGAGTGAGAGGAGAGAGAGAGAGAAAGAGAGGAGAGAGAGAGAGAGAGAGAAAGAGAGAGAGAAAGAGAGAGAGAGAGAGAGAGGAGAGAGAGAGAAGGAAAGAAAGTTGGAAGAAGGTACAAAAGAAGAAGAAGGGATACATAACGCTATATTAGCCTATTCATTGAACGCCATCATGCCTGACCTTTCAAATGTCTTGTTCGCGTTCATGCGGATAATCTGTCTATTCCAATTCAAGTCCCTTTCATCACTTCCCCAATTCAACCGTTTTCATAATTCATATTCACAAAATCACGAATCATGATTTGTGTTATTGTACAGGGCCCGCGGAATGACGGGGCTTGACACCCTCCCCCCCCCCACACACACTTTTTAAAGAAAAAATATGGTAAAAAATAGTTCTAGAATAATTTAGATTTGAATAATCAAGACAAAGAGAAAGAGAGAGAGAGAGAGAGAGAGAGAGAAAGAAAGAAAGACGCTATATCTGTTATGGTTCAATTGTTATCAGAATCATACTTACTGGCGATCCTGGAATCTGAATACTTACATTGGAACGCATATCAAAGGAAAAGTAGGTACAGGCCGGTTGCATAGCCAATCTTATACATGGTAAATGCCCATACAAGAGGTCTGGGTGGAGGCCGATATGATTTAGTGACCTGACTTGATGTACCGTATAGAATATGAATTAATTTAACTTTCTGTTAAGAAGGCTTAGGCGTAAAGGGGTTTACTGCAAGGACGAAATGTGAACAAGTCAGACAGGATTGGGACTCAATTCTATAATTCTATGGGTATGTCACTAAGTTGAATTTACATGGTTGGCTTTACATGTATGTCACATTTTGTGTGACGTATATTAATGATGAAATACCAAGATAATACATTGTGCTCTATACCTACACCAGGTACCTTTCGCGAGAGTTCATAACCATTATCTAAAGTGCCTAAAAGTCTTCATTAAGTGACATTACGTGTGTTTCAAACTATTGTCGAATGACATTAATGACATAAATTGCTGTCGTCCTACCCGCTTAGGTCAAAGTTCGCCAGTGGATAGTCTCTCGTTCAGTATAGGCATGCTCGTATAAATCCAATCCGAAAACCAACTTCCAGCATTTATGTAGTCCCTTTCAATTCATCCTTACAGTGGTACTTGCAAGGAGCCAGATTCGAGAAGGTACGTAAGTTCTTTCATTTTCTTACGTATAACACAACGTGTTCGAAATGAGTAAATGATCATTGACAAAGTTCTTTAGGTTTGCTGTTTTCTTCATCTGCATTGGTTCATATGGCTGTTATGGTATTCACTTCCTATAGCATTCATAACCAGAGTTACGAAAACTGAAGTTGAAATATTCTGGACAATGTCAGTATTAAGTTGGGCCACTGACATAATGGGGTATACAGACATCTCTTATAATAATAATATTATTAACCTTATTTCGCTCAAACTGCTTTTATGTTGCTCCGAATGAGAACCTTATAACAGTATAACAAGAGATAAATATCTTTTTCTTGGGTGCAGTCCCTTTTCTTGTAAGTACTTTAATCCGGGAATTTAATGTGTGATGTGGGGGTGTTTCATCAAATAATAATTATTATAGGCCCTTCAAATCGATCCGATCGATTTTAAGATCGATTTTAGGGTTTAGTGAAACACCCCCCAGTTCATTGTTAAGATCGTCCATGGATCAGATGAGATTTATCAACCTTGCCATACTCGATGTGCATAAAGAACTATAATCTTGGATTGCTAGAATATAGGTCGTGATTGTATGGGAAAACGATCATGTTTTCTCCAAGAAAGATTTTGAAGGCACACAAGTAACTAAAGTGACCAGCTTTCTCTATGTTACGTGGTTGCAATGTATAGGTGAGTTGGTATCTTTAGTTGGTATTTTTTCCCCTTTTTTTTTAATTTTACATTTTATGGTTTTCAGTATACAAATTCCTTGCTGGTCTTTTAATTTTGTTATATAAGTACGATTGTGATGGTCTTTGCCTCTGAGTTTTACTACGGGATGTCAGAACTATAATTTTTGTATATATTTTGTTTATGAATGCCTTTGATTCGTCTTCTCCTTTGGTTTCCTTCAGATCGGAAGGGAGCTATGTTTTATTTTATTTTAATGAATCATCAATCTTTATCGGCTTCGAAACTTACGTTGTATCTTTGACTTTCAATCCTATTTTTATTTTTCAATTTCGGAGCTTAGTTGTTCTAATGGCTTCCATCAAAATGTTAACATTTTTATATAGGGCTTGTATAATTATATTGCTTATATACAAAACAAATCTGCCACAAAACTTTTAAAAATGTGAGAGGAATAGATGATACAGTACTTTTATTTTTTGAAAACTATAAAATATACTCATAAAAATAAAGGGTCAACGATATATGTTTAATCTTTGGCGAGTGTATCATTTGAATGTTTCAAAATATTGCTCAGACCATGATTTACGTCATTAAACAAAAATATAGTATTAAATAGGGTATGCAGACTGGATTCCAAGTTCATTCATTAATAAGGGGTTAAAGATATAACTCATCACTATATAGGTACGCAGGAAAGAAACATCCATAAATTTGAATAGTATTATGTTTATTAGTAAACCGGTCGTTTGATACTAGAAACGATGTAGGCTACATGCAACAGATGAGTTTAAATACGATTTCAATGCATACATTGACATTGACTCATACAGGTGCGGAGCGCTCTACCACAGATGAAATCCCTATTATTGGAAACCCGGGAATTGTAAATAAAACGAGCGGGAAAACGACTGTGTGGTGTGTCGTCTGCGGTGTATCGTCTGCTTGTTCGCATTCTATATGAAGTCAGATTGAACCCATTTTTGTTCTCGCACTGCCGCGCCTCATTATGCACAGGCCTAGGGTACCGTATTGCGCTGTATCCATCCCTATACGCAGGCGTGCACAGCGGAGCAGATATACCATATTGTGCAGTCGTTTGTCTGTTTTTCCTTCATACTTTGCGAGATTTTTCTGAAAAACGTCCTCCTTATGCCTCGCATTTGATGTCATTTTGCTCCTTGCACAGAGTTTTCAAGCGTTGCTAATTGATGAGAGTCAACATGTCTTAGCACATTCTGCTATTGCACTGAGAACGCATGCACGGAGACAACAGCTGTTACGCAGGAAATCCTTCGATTCGGCAATTGTACGCTCTTATTATATCTATCTTGTCAATAAAAACAAACCTTGATCTCCATTTGATCATGTGGTACTGTGATTCGATCATAAATCTGAACTTCAGGGTTCATATAACCTAACCCTGATGTGAATCGTGGTGACGAATAACGACATCGATAATTTTCGTCTATGCTGTTGTCTCCCTTTAATGTTGTAGCGTTTCTGGTGTCAATACTCATCCGCTCTCGATCGTCTACAAAGGAGTCGGATTAACATTGTACTCCGAGTACAACTTGACGTATAACTCCATCAGTAGAATTGTGAGTATTTTATGACTATTAATTTATTTCAACCAGCATTTATTCATTTGGGAATGCCAATATCATATGTAGGGGGTCCTGGTCAATGTTGCGACCCCCCCCCACCTTCCTTTGAAACCTTTAGGCATACCATGAAGTAAACACCCCCCCCCCCCCCAAAAAAAAAAAAAAAAAAAAAAAAAAAAAAAACTATACATTTATGTTATTTTTCAGAAAATGCACACCCCTCCCCTTCTCATTTTGAATGCTGGATCCGTCCCTCGATAAAGCACAAGGTATTAACACCTAGACACTATGAACATGACAGACAAAGAAAGCGGACAAAATATATACAGTTCCTCAGGTAGACAAAGGAACATCCCGTCACTGCTATTATGTAAAAGGGTGAATATGCATGTGACACCTGTTCTACACATTTTTACATAATAGCAGTGAAGGGATGTTCCATTGTCTACCTGAGGAACTGTATATTCTGTCCGCTTCTTTGTCAGTCATGTTCATAGTGAGAATTGCACGCCCGTATCATTCATCATCATCAACATCCGATTTAAAAATTGCCTTCAGTCAAGGATATCGAAAAACCAATTCCATAATGTAATCACATGTAATGCATAAATATGTGCCTTGTTACAAATGATTTCATTCACCTGTTAGAAATAATTGTATTTATCAATAGTGAGAATGCGAATTGCATACGTTTATCGTTGTTAGGTAGAATAAACACTATGGCGTACCCTACCAAACATAATACAATGCCGTTCGCATTCTGACTATTATAAGTACAACATTACTATTCTTAAAGGATGAATGAAATTATTTGTATTGATGTACTCCACAAAAATGTATGCATTACATTTGATTACATTACGAAACTGGCATATTCAGTGTCAGGGGGATTCCCTATGTAGAGCCAGTGGCATTTTCCCATTTACTACGGTACAGATAGGCCGTTGTGTTTCACCTTTGGTTTCACCTGGGTTATTTTGAATGGTGACGCTGTGTAAAACTGTGACGGAGGTCAAAGGGTGTACACAAAACATGTGCGATGAGCCGAAAATCGCTCCTTGTTTGTTATCTCTCCCCTCTCCCCCCCCTCTCTCTCTCTCTCTCTCTCTCTCTCTCTCTCTTGTTCCCACTAAATATAGAAATGTATATATATTTATATCTGTATATACATTGTGTATATATCTGCCTCTCTCTCTCTCTTGCTCTTTGTTCTCGCTCTCTCTCTCTCTCTCTCTCTTTCACTCTCTCTCTATCTCTCTCTCTCTTTCACTCTCTCTCTATCTCTCTCTCTCTCTTTCACTATTTCTCTTCTTACCCTCTCTCATTTTCTGTTCTAGTAAGTAACATCCAAATATAAGTTGATTTCTGTTGATGTGCAGGGCTGAATATAACTCATATTTTGTTATTCAAACATCGAAATATGTGTCATAAATTTTTGAATAGTTGTTAAAATAATTTTCTCAGACCTGCTATAAAACTCCACCCTAAAAATATGCTCCAGATTTCATTCATCTTTTGAAATCATCTATCAATCATTAGTGAGCTAACAAGAGATAGTGGTACGTATCTACATGTACACCAGAGCTGACCACCTGTTTACAATAGACCATACAATACCAACATAGGAGTTGCTATGTCAGATGTGCTGTAGCATCACCAGGAAAAGAAAGATAATGTGCTGAGCTGGGAGAAGTAACATACCACTGTCTCTTGTTAATGAGGGGAAATTATAGATGAGAGGGTTACATTTCGAGAATGGCCTATATGAAATGCCTATGCTTAGCTACTATTAAATAATGAGGAAAATATAGTGTATCATGCTAATACTAATGACTCTCAAACTGTATTGATTTGTTTCCTGCAGGGATAGGACTACCGATCAATCTTGATCTCCTAGTCCCTTCACAAGACTACACACACTTCAAGAAACACTGGATTCCAGGTTGATAGATCTTCCACGACTTCATCCAGAGGCACTTGTCAATAACATCCAAGATGGCGACACCCAAAGCCGCCAAGGTGAAGGAGTTCTTCAGCAGTTGCTTCCAACGTCTCAGTCGGACCAAGAAGTTGGACTCGGAGGATATCGAGCAGAGTGAACTGAAGAGATGTCTGAGTATGTGGGATCTAACAGCCATTGGGGTCGGGAGTACCCTTGGAGCAGGTATCTACGTCCTGGCAGGGCAAGTAGCCCGTGAGGTGGCCGGACCAGCCATCGTTCTCTCCTTCTTGGTTGCCGCAGTAGTGTCTTTGCTATCCGGTAAGTTCATTTTTTATCACTTCAATCTCACTATGATTTAATCTTATAGCATAATGTATAAACGATACTAATTTCAAATTGCATTGTCATGATTTCAACGACTGGCTAGAGCCAAAAGATTGCTAATTGAATGCGATTGCAACTACTTTCTAAAAACCAACCAAAGACAATTTCAGAAGTCTTGCGCGTCACTCGCGCGTCACCAAAATTAAAATGGGCGAACATGACAATAACGTTTACCCGAACATGACTGCTACGTCATATAGGCCTACCCTAGGGTAGTGAAATTGCCATTGAGTAGATTGTTGGATTAAAGTTGTGATCGCGTTACTCATATTTGTTTATACAAGAGCTAATGCCCTTCAAGCTTTAGCAAAGGACTGTATTCTCACCTCCTATATTATCTTCTATATTTGACAAGTTCATTGACCAATTACTTCCTAACAAGATACTCATATTCTTTACCTGGGTCGGGAGTGGCAAGTGGAAATGAATGCCCTGTCAAAGTACAGTAGTGTTGTATCGGGGCTGCCTTGAACCTACGACCCTTAGCATCTCCATTGAAGTGACCAAACAACTAGCCCACGACAGACATGACACTGCGCATACAGGCATGAGAGTACTACATTTTGCCATTTTTTGTGCTAAACATGAATGAATTAGTAGTGCATAAACATTGTCTGCCTGTCTAACAATTGGAGCTTCTCTGCTACTAATACTATAGCTTTTTCCGATACGAATACAACGGCCTCGAGCACCGTGATGTGACGATAACAATCTTATGAAGAACATGAACATTCGATGAATATCTAGACACATTATTCATGCTTTTAATGTTCTGATCGTTCCGTAGAATCAGGAAAAGGCAGCTTTTATCTTGGGAGAACCAAATTATAGCTTCCTTTTTTTCTTCAAATTTATTCATTTAGACGTTAGCTTTTGAAATCTATAGACCGCGAACATTCACGTAAAAGTCACGTAGAAGTAATATGAATTCAGTCAAAATGCATATTGTCCGCGGATTCACATCTCAGTGATGATAAAATTCGCCTCCTCCGCCATAGCTAGGAAATAAATTATGCAATATGATATCAACCGTAACCGCCAGCTCCTTTAAAGGTCATATTTATTCATGAGGAGGAAAATGTTCGCAAAGAGCTTTTGAAGGAGGCTTTTGTTAACGCCGAGTGTTTACGCTTGTGATGCTGGGAGAGGATTGGGAAGGTGGATGAGGGGTTCCCATGGGAACGCTAGCCGCGCCTCTCTATCTTCATAGTATCTTCATCCTCATCAAGAGATGGTCCATGAGATGGCTGTTCAGGAATGGGAGGGAAGAGAGAGAAAGAGAGAGGGGAGAGAGAGAGAGAGGGAAGAGAGAAAGAGAGAGAGAGGGGGAGAGATAGAGAGAGAGAGAGGGAGAGAGAGAGGGAGAGAGAGAGAGAGAGAGAGAGACAGAGACAGAGAGGATGATTTTATCTTGACGAATATGAGAGACGATGCATCTTCATGAATTATGATAAGGAGGCATCTTTGTCTCAAGTGACACTTTTTTTAAAGGCTTCTTCCAAGTGCCCCTTCCCCCTTTTGAAATATTTTCAACATAATTAAACATATTTACATATGTTTACATAACATTTTTTACAGAGCATTATTTCTTTCAAAGGGCAAAATAGTATAATCTAAATTCAGAAAATGAAAACTATTATTAATCATACAACCATGCATGTCCACTGACGAGTTGTACATTCATTGAAAGAATCATTTCGATACACGTCCTGCTTTTTCATTTAGAAATGTCAAATGAAAATGCAAAATTCCTTTCACATACACGAACGGAAATCACTCAATACATCATGTCCAGTATCTGAATGGCAAGAGGAAAGCGGAGACAAATTGAAAAGAATAGGTGTGAGTTCTGCGAAGAAACGCTCTCAGCGGGATTCAGTTCGGTGAGAGAACCACCTGCACCCGATGGCCGGCTAGCAGAATCGATGAACGAATGAGGTTGACTTACCTTTTAAAGAGAACGTTGATGTCTGGTAAAGGGAGTTATATTGTTAAAGATAAGCTGAGTTCTGATAATGATAGAAAATAAAATTATCACATAATCCAACAAAACTTACACTGAATGTTCAAGATTACAATTAAATGACACGTGCCAAACGTTTTTTTTTGTAGAAAATGTATAGGAGCTGAGTAATGAACATAGAAAGATTAGTACAGCACAGGTGACTATGTGCAAATGAGAGCTGTGTGTTTTTTTGTTTTTTTATTGAAGATGATTTCCACCAAGTTTTTGCGAGGTTGTTTTCATTTAACTGGTTCAAAACAATAATCTAAACCAATCCAGAATAAATTAGAGCCATGTTCTCTCGACATACGATTCCCATACCAGAGCTCCAGATTAACTTTAAGCTTTCATATTTGTATTCATCGTAATATGTTAATGCGTATCGTGAATGATAGCACATTCACATGAGAAGGATAGCCCTTAAAACGTATGCCCCGATATGCCACCTGTGTTTGTAGTCCCGTATACATGTCCATATTAGGGACTTTTAGATTTGCGTGGACTGATACGTGTGACGTCCATTCAAGGCAGTGCATTAAAAGGACGTCGATCATAGCAATCCACGTTGTCGTTCGGCAATTCTAAAAGTCCCTATTGTGTGCAGTGCTCCACACCTTGTGTTATTTTCAGCAAGACTCAATCAACTTCTCATCTCTGTATAATGTTCTTGTTTTTAAATCACACAGTGACCAATTATTCGCATATTCAAACTTTCCTAACTGCTTCTGGACACTCAGAATTATCTTGAAAGTTGGTGCTGCGTACCGGTCATTATTGATCACGTAGTAGGTAGTAGATAATGAAAAGCATACGGGACATTGATCTTGCCATATGGGTCTGCACAGACAGTGGAGGATCATTATATTTGGTCTTAAATTACTTCTAGGCACTGTCATTTATGTTTCAGAATACAAGAGCATGACAGAATGAGCTAAATCACTTTTATTTTTGTTTATCCGTTCAGCTTTTTGTTTTTTTATTTAGTTAGTTTATATATTTATTTATTCTCGAATCATAATGCATCACGGTAAAAACATGCAGTGCTTTGATAGTATATATTAGCTTATTTTTAATGATCAAAATATACTTCCAGATATTTTGACGGTTTCTAATTTACTGCCCCCCAATTGACTACTGTCGATTAAACATCGTTGAATACATTTGCTCCATGGTAACGCTAATTTATGGTATTCCACAAATGACAAAATAAAATCTTTATTACACCTCATTCGCCGAGATATTTATGAGTTTTACAAGTAGCCTAGCTGCAAAACGTATTAAAAAACCCTTTCTGACTGTCTCTTTAAATCGACTTGGTCTTATAAATGCCGAGTGCAGCAAACAACATGACAGCCTTTGAATGTCTCTTTTATGCATTATCGGCTTATATTTTCCGCAAGAACTGACAATCATTAGAAGGTTCAATAAAATCGAGCATTCGGAATGGCATTGACTACAAATGTCCAGAATAGAAGACATGGAACGGTTGTAGCCCCACAGATGATTCGGTTTTGTGAAATGTCATACATTGTATGGAGAACGATTTACAATATCATTTATCTCCAGGATTGGCTTCGTTTGTTGTTGGTTGGTTGCTTAGTGGATTTTGTTTGCTTTCATCTGGAAGAAGCAGTTAAATTCTTTGCATTTTATGTTCGTTAAAACTTATAAAACTTATAAATAAACATACATGTACACCTCTCCCCCCCCCCCCCCCCCCCCCGAAAATGGCTTAGAAATATAGTATGCAAATTGTGAATGGCCGAATCCATCAAGGGTTTGTGTTGTACTAATCAAAATTATAAAAGGGGAAAGAATGCGACCCCTGTCGCTGAAATCCATAGCTTTGAGGGATCAAATTTAATGAAAATGCACTTTTGAAACTATTTCATCGGCCAAATAAGAATTGATAGGATTGTCAGAAACAATTCGAGACCGTCTGGTGTAGAATTCACGTGGGATATCGAACATTGTTAGCATCAAACGAAATTCATTTTTATCATGTCCTGTTAATCAATGTTGAATTACGTAAAGGCCAAGGCGGATACAGGGTGAAAACGGATGCCTCTATATTGAGACATACATATAACAAGATTTTAGTGCAGAAAGCCCCCCCCCCCCTTCCCCCTTCACACACAGACACACACACCTTTGAAACCTTGCGAGAGTCACCAAAGATTAAAGGGGTGCTAACGGTCCTGTTACCATTGTGACTCACCACTCTCTCTCTCTCTCTCTCTCTCTCTCGCTCTCTCTCTCTCTCTCTCTCTCTCTTTTCTCTCTCTCTCTGTTTCTCTCTCTCCCTTCCCCTCTCTTTCCATTTCTCTCTCTCTCTCCCCTTCTCTCTCTCTCTCTCCCCTTCTCTCTCTCTCCTTTTTCTCTCTCCTTTTTTTCTCTATCCTTTTTTTCCTCTCTCTCACATACACACGCACTCACTCACTCACGCACTCACCCACTCACCCGACCCCCCTCTCTCTCTCTCTGTCTGTCTCTCTCTCCCTCTGTCTCTCTCTGTCTCTCTCTCTCTAATAACTTTCGTTGGGATTTAGAGGGATTTCCGTTATAAGCTAGTGAAATCTTTGCGTCTGATTGGTTATCAGCAGATTTGTCACTGATTTTTGTCATTTGTCATTGAAAAAAGGCTTTATGAAATGATTCCATGGAATGCATACCACCCCACCCTTTTGGATAACCGTGCAAGGCTAGAGACTAGTAGGCATACAAGAAGTTCAAAATACAATTTCATGGTAAACAGAAGTATTAGTTTATTTATTAGTTATGCATACAAAAATAATAGTCAATTGGCATTAAAAATAAATCTTTGGCTGTTTCCGTAAAGCTACAAAATCTCAAATAATCATGAAGATTCATAAATAAATATATATGTAGATGATTTACCACAGCAGTACTTTTATGTGACAATAGAAAA